TGCACCTAAAGCTTTAGCTCCAGCTATCCATCAGACTGACAATAGTCAAGGGCCAGAAATTGGTGTAGCATACACAAAGAGAGACATGCTCACAAGAATTCTCAGGACTCACTCAAAATGTAGCCTGCTGGTCTTGCTTAATCTGATCAACACACTCACTATTGTCAGAAACAATGGCCGTGATTTTTCAGGCCTTCTCTGGCCTCTTGCCTTTCAAAGCAATGTCTTCACTGAAATTCTCAGAAGAATAACTTGTCTTCCCATCAGGGTTGAGACTACAAAACTTCCTCCAATATTGCCTCATACTACTTTTATCTTTAATGCTAAAGTTCACTGAGAAGTACTTGGACATCAGAATGACTCATTGGTAGAGCATCAGAGAGAAACTAAAGCTCCCCTAGCAGCATCAGGCCATTCCTAGAGATATCTCTTCCGACGATCAATAAAACTGTAAAATATACTAAATACTTAGAAGTAAGTATGCTTCTAAGTCCATTGATATCTCTGACAAGGTATTTTTAGGACTAGCATACATAAATATTTCAAGGCTATAGACCATATATGGATGCACAACATTATATATTAAAATGTGGTAGAGGCTGAAAAATTGTGTGCCCCACCTACATTTTGTTTTTCTAATCTTCTTTTATTTCAAAGAGGATTCTTAAGCGTATTTCTCTTGTATTCTTTTATCTCCAGACACCAGAAATGCCCTTTGTGTGGCAATGATTAATGGCTCTCAAAAGCAAAAGAAGCTGTCTCCTCTGAAAGCTTTCTGAGTCTCTAAATGTACGCTATTTTTTCTGTGATAAATATCACCGCATTTTTATGCACACTATTTTCCCCCTGGAAAATACATAATCATGCTAGCTAAACATTGGTATAGGATTTTACTTTGAGACCTTTGGGATGCTTCTTCCATCTGCCAAGAGGCATTCTGTAGATAATCATCCTTCATGGTTCCAAACCAAAAGAAAAAAAATTAAAGATTAAAACTGCCAGAAAACCATAGAGTTAACTTACTTCCATTCACAGGCCTGAAAGGAAACCACAGAGGAATTTCTGACTATTGCAATTTGTCTTAAATATGCCAATACACTGTTAACATTCAAGACTCATTAAGCAGATTTGTAGCATTCACTTCACATCTGATGTACTAGGGCCTCAGAAAATAGATTTTTTTTAACTCATTAGTGACAGTGAAGTGGACTCTAGCCACTGTGTCCTTAACAAAGCAAAATAAAGCCTATTCTCCATGAGGTATGAGATGGCATTAAAATAAATAAGGATCTGCCCTGATATAGCATCCAGATAATGATGGCTTGGGTATAATCTTCTGTGCCTGCAAATCAGGAGTTAAATGATAACAGATAGTTGTGGACTTTAAACCACCAATCTCCCTTGCTATACACCTCCCTGCTCCCTGCACCAGCAAGATATTATAAAAGGTAGTGGTGGGATTATCAAGTAAGAATTATTCCTGAGACGCAAGTTTGGTTCAACATATATAAATCAATCAATGTAAGCCATCATATTCACAGAATTAAGGACAGAAACCATAGGATCATCTTAATAGATGCAGAAAAAGCATGTGACAAAAGTCAGCATCTTTTTATATTAAAATTTGACAAATGAGATATAGAAGAAATGTTCCTCAAAAAAATAAAAGGCATATATGACAATCCCACAGCTAGCATTATACTCAACAGTGAAAAGTCAAAGGCTTTCCATCTAAGATCAGGAACAAGACAAAGATGGCCACTCTAACTACTTCCATTCAACATAGTACTAGAAGTCCTAGCCAGAGCGATTAGACAAGAGAAAGAAATAAAATGAATCCAAATAGGAAAATATGAAGTTAAATTGTCTGTTTGCTGATGACATGATCATATATAAAAAATAGTAAAGACTTCACACACAAGAAGAAAACTACTAGAACTGATGAAATCAGTGAAGTTGCAGGATACAAAACCAACATGCAAAAATCAGTAGTGTTTTTATACACAACCACAAACTGTCTGAAAAAAGAAACTAAGAAAATAATCCCACTTGCAGTGGCATAAGAAAATACATAGAAGTAAATTTAGCCAAGGAAGTAAAAGATGTCTATATTGAAAACTACAAAACACTGATGAAAGAAATTGAAAATGACACAAATAAATGGAAAGATATCCCATGTTCATGGATTACAAGAATTTATATTATTAAAATGTCTATACTAACCAAAGCAATCTACAGATTTAATGCACTCCATATCAAAATTCTAATGTAATTCTTCACAGAAATAGAAAAAAAATCCTAAAATTCATACAGAACCACAAAAGACACCAAATAGCCAAAGCAATCTTGACCAAAAAGGACAAGGCTGGAGACATCACACTACTTAATTTCAAAATATATTCCAAAGCAATAATAGTCAAAATGGCATAATACTGGCATAAAAACAGACACATCAACCAATGGAATAGGATAGAAAGCCCAAAAATAAACCCACATGTCTACAGTCAATTGATTTTCAAAAAAGGTACCAAGAACACACAATGGGGAAAAGATGTTATCTTTAATAAACTGTGCTTGAAGAACCACAAAATTTAAATGTCCCTTATCTCACTCTTATACAGGATCAACTCACAATCAGTTAAGGACTTAGACCTGAAACTATAAAACTACCAGAAGAAAACAGGGAGAAAGCTATATGACAGTGATCTGGACAAAGATTTCTTGGATATGATCCCAAAACCACAAGCAATAAACCCAAAAGTAGACAAATGAGATTGCATCAAACTAAAAGGAAATGACTGACAGAGTGAAAAGACAACCCACAAATTGAGAGAAAATATTTGCAAATTATATATCAGAGGCCAATATCCAAAATATATAAAGAACTCAAACTACTTAATACAAGAAAACAAATAACTCTATTTAAAAATAGACAAATAACTTGAATAGACACTTCTTAAAAGACATACAAATGATTAACAGATGTATAAAAAATATTCAACATCTATTTTAGACACTGTTGGTGGTACTGTAAATTAGTATAAACAGTATGGAGGATCTTCATAATACTAAAAATAAAATTACCATATGATCAAGCAATCTCATTACCAGGTATATACCCAGAGGAATTAAAATCAGTATGTTAAATAGATGTCTACACTCTCATGTTCATTGAAGCATTATTCACGTTAGCCAAGATATGAAAACAACCTGTGTCCATCAATGGATGGATTTTTAAAATGTGGTATATATATACAATGGAACACTATTCAGCCTTAAAAAACACAACAGGATATTCTGTCATTTATGACAACATAGATGAACCTAGAGGGCTTGTATTATATTAAGTAAAATAAGTCAGGGACAGAGATAAATATGTGATCTCACTTACACATGGAATGTAAAAAGTCAAATTTATGGAAGTAGAGAGTAGGATGATGGTTACCAGAGGCTGAGGATGGAAAAGATGGGCAGGGAAAGGAGAGAGCTTGGTCAACAAGCACAAAGTTACTGTTAGAAGAGATACGTTCTGGTTTTCCATTGCACAGCAAGGTGAGTAGAGTCAATAATAATGTATATTTCAAAATAGCTAAAAGAGAGGACTTTAAATGTTCTCACTACAAAGAAGTGATAACTATTTGAGGTGGCAGATATGCTATTTACCCTGATTTGTTTCATGAAGCTATAGTTCTATAGTGGATCCACAGAACTCTGCCATCCATTTTTTTTTTTTTTTCAGAAAGGTGGGAAATGTGAGTTTTACTTAAAATATGGTATTTACTGTATTAGCCCATTCTCACACTGCTATGAAGAACTGCCTGAGACTGAGTAATTTATAAAGGAAAGGGGTTTAATTTACTCACAGTTTCACATGTTTGGGGAAGCATCAGAAAACTTACAATCATGGTGGAAGGTACTTCTTCACAAAGCAACAGAAGACAGAATGAATTAGTACTGAGCAAAATAGTTTCTTATAAAACCATCACATCTCATGAGAATTCTTACTACCAAGAGAACAGCAGCATGGCGGTAACTACCTCCATGATTCAATTACCTCCCACTGGTTCCCTGCCATGACATGTGGGGATTATGAGAACTACAATTCAACATGAGATTTGGGTAGGGACACAGCCAAACCATATCACTTGCATAGCATAAGTTCTGGAATATTCTTGTTAATGTCATTAAATCTATATGAAGACTTGATTCTGAAAGACCAAGAGACATCAATAAGCATTTTTAGAGAAAGTTTAATACTAGAAGATGTTTTATCTGGAAAGCTGTGATATACAGGTCAGTGCCAAAGTGACCTTCAAGAAACCCTTATTAACCAGAACATAAATTCCTCTAGGCTGAACTTAATGCTGTGTATATCCCTGAAATCCCATAGCAGCAGTAAAGATAGAGTCCAGTCTTCCTTTGCCTTCATCCACTCCTCACTTAGCCAGTAGTGAGGGTATCCTCTCACCTTAATTTCTAGCCATTTGTCAAAGCTTTCTTTGCTGAGATCTTGTCAGTTATTCAAAACCGATATTACTGAGGTCTAAATATGCAAAGGACTTCAACTGAGATTTTCTAATAGTGCTTCCTGTGTTCTATATTGCATAATATATGGAATAATTATGATTATGGTTAATTTATTGATGTACTCTATCTCTCCAGCTGTACCTTAAGCTCTACAAGGGCAGAGTCCTTGCACCTGTAATAGTGCAGTGCTTGATAGGTGCTTGACAAATTAATGTGGCTTATTTGATAGGGTGAATGAAGGACTAGGGAAAAAGAGAAGAAAGGAGAGAAATAAGGAAGGGAAGAAGGAAGAAAGGGAGAAGAAGGGAGAGGAAAGGATAAAGAGACAGAAGGAATTTTTTTTTATTTGAGACTGAGTCTTGCCCAGCTACCCAGGCTGGAGTACAGTAGTGTGATCTGGCTCACTACAACCTCTGCCTCCCAGGTTGAAGAAATTTCTCTTGCCTCAGCCTCCTGAGTAGCTGGGATTACAGGTGCCTGCCACCACATCTGGCTAATTTTTGTATGTTTAGTAGAGATGGGATTTACCATGTTGGCTAGAATGGTCTCAAATTCCTGACCTCAAGTGATCCACCTGCCTTGGCCTCCCAAAGTGCTGAGATTACAGGCATGAGCCACTGTGCCTGACCAACACGTCTAACAATTAGGAAAAAAAAAAAGATTATATCTCTCCTCAAAAATCTTCTGACCTTATTGCCTAGATAGAAATATATTTATATTTTATAACAGAAAGTCCATAATAACTTATAACCACACAATCTAGTACTTGGCCTCTAAAAGGAATAATATAGGAATTAAAATATGAAGATCAGCCTGGCTGCAGAACTTAGAGAAGGTTTTATGAAACAGAGGGAATTTTTTGCTGGACCACAAAGAATGTAGTGAAATGGATAAGCGAAAATGAAAGAGGATGGCAAGTCCTAGCACGTTCCCTGATATTCTCTCTCCCTTCTTTGTGTCTTTCATTAGTGATTAGTGATTTCTGCTTTGAATAGCACAGTAATTGCAACTTGACTTTCTTCGGCTTGGAGAATAATTTTCATTCCAATAGAGAATAAACACCAACATTTAATGGGTAAACTTACCATGTATCAGGTCCTGTGCTAGGAACTGAATATAAATCATTTAGTCTAATCCTTATACAAACCACTATGATTATGTCCACTCTACAGATAAAACTGAACAGAGGCCAAGAACCTTGCTTCATATCACACAACAGGAAACAGCTGATAGAAAAATCAACCACTGATGCTTAGAAAATTTGGAAGGGCAGAAACAGACCCTCCAATTACCTCACACTTTAATGATAACACAGAGTTTACTTGGCAGCAAAATTTACTTTTGTTAACCTAAGCTTTTGTCTTTATGTCCTATATGTAAGTTCTCAGAAGTCCAGATATGAGAAGATGAGAGAGCGTGCTAGATATTTTCATTTAGCCCTTGATACGGTTTGACTACGTCCCCACCCAAATCTCATCTCCAATGATATCTCCCATTATTCCCACATTTGTGGTAGGGACCTGGTGGGAGATAACTGAATCACAGGGGCAGTTTCCCCCTTACTATTCTTGTGGTGATAAATAAGTCTCATGAGATCTGATGGTTTTATAAGGAGTTTCCGCTTATGCTTGACTCTCGTTCTCTCGTCTGCTGCCACATTAGATGTGCCTTTCACCTTCTGCCATGATTACGGGACCTCCCAGCTACATGGAATTATGAGTCTATTAAACCTCTTTTTCTTTATAAACCACCCAGTCTTAGGTATATCTTTGTCAGCAGCATAATAATGAACTAATACAGCCCTTCAAGTCCACTCTGCACTCTTCATCCTGCTCCCAACAGCTGATCTGTGGAGCCTGCAGCAGTGCACCTACTCTTTAGCTTCCCAGAGAGGTTATCCAACAGAATGCACCCATAGGGAATCAGGAAGGAGAGACAGAGATCATGCTCTGTATTCTCCAGATACCCTCCCTGCTGGGCCACCTCAGGTTGTGTCCTCTAATAAAGGTGGAGGATCCAGAGGATCCAAGTAAATCTCAATCTCTATCCATCTTCCCCACCCCCACCAATCCTCCTATTCCACAATGTAATCATTTTTTTCCTTTAACTTTTCCAGGCCTAAATGTTTTTCTATAACCAGCCTCTATTACCCCTTGCTGCTTTTTCTACACTCAAACATTTATAGAGTCCTTTTACACCGTAAAATGCAGCAATCCCACTTCTGGTATATATTCAAAGAGATTGAAATCAGTATGTTGAAGAGATATGCATATTCCCATGTTCATTTCAGCATTACTCACAATTGCCAAGATACGGAATAAACCTACATGTCTATCAATGAATGAATAAATAAAGAAAATGTGGGATACACACAAGAGAATACTATTAAACTTTTGTTTTAAAAAAGGAGAAAATCCTATCATTTGCTGCAACATGGTTGAACCTGGAGGACACAATGCCAAGTGAAATAAGCCAAGCACAGAAAGGTAAATACTGTGCATGATCTCACTTACACAGGAAATCTAAAACAGTCGAACTCATAGAAGCAGAGCATAGAATCGTGCTTTCCTGGGCCTGGGAGGGTGGGATGAGGAAAGGAGAGATGTCTGTCAAATGCACAGAGCTTTAGGTAAACAAGAAGAATACATTTTTGAGATCTCTTGCAAAGGCTGGTGATTATAGTTAATAATAACGTGTATTTTTAAAAAGAGCCTCCTTAAATTTTCCTCAGTTACACAACTTAAGTTTTCTGCAGTGAGCCTACACAGGTAATAAGTTTGTGAATTAGAATTGTGATATTTAAATATATAAGGAAAGGCCCAGATCTGAGGTACATTTTGGAAAAAGTAACATAACTGAATAAAATACTGAAACAGGTAAGAAAAGCCAGATAATATCAAAAATAACCTAAGATTTCTGAGTCCAGGTAATCTGGAAAAGGATAACACTGACAGAAATAGGAACATTATTAAAGGAAACTTAGGAGTTCTTCATACTGTGGATATCTGTCTCTTTATTTGAATGTCTGTTTGGGAAACTGCAATTCCTAAATAAGCCAATATGAAAAAAATTGAAGTCTACACTACTTCTACTAGTCCCATTTGCCAGAGAAATCAAGATCATAAATTGAATATGTAGTCTTACAAACTATTTTATATGTTATTTACATAAATGTGTATCCTGGCCCAAGGACATTATTATTCTTAACAATACAACTGTAAAATGATATATGGTTTTTTTAACAAACTATAAATCACTATTTCATGATTTGGCAACTTGAAATTTTTACTCAAAATTGCTTTGGAGATCTATCCATGTTGGCATATATAGCTCTATTTCACTTATTGTAACAGTTACGCAATAATTGGTCATAATTGCTTCATCTGTTTGCTTCGTCTGTTCCTCTACAAACAAATTTTTTACTACAACAAACAATACTTCAGTGAACCTCCTTGTCTAAGTCACCTTAGGAAAATTTCTGTAGAGTTATTGTGGCATCGTTGGGCCAAAAAAATCAAAATGAGTTTAGAAACCTTTATTTTTGAGGTTTGGGCTATGCGATTGGGCATCAAAATGGAATTTTAACAGTAGTCATTAGTAAATATAGGCCTGAAGAAAAGATAAAAAAAGAAATAAAGATAAAATGTCTATTTGCAATGATATTTCTATTTCTTTTTTTTCAGCTAGGGGATGAAAATAGCACTGTTTTTCAGGCCATAAACCAGGCACCTTGCAATCCTTACCTCCTTTAGTCTTCACATGTACCCTTCAAGAGATATCTGACATTCACTAATGCCTCATTGTAGGTAATAGTTTCCACCTCCACTACAATTCCATTTTTTTTTATATCAGAACAATATAACAAATAGGATATTCCAACTGTATGAAATGTATCCTTTTTAAAATCATCTTTTTCAGTTTAAAAAAGAGAATAAAATCACAAATAAAGAAATAACAAGTAACTTGAAGGTGACAGGAAAAGTAGAAGCTAAATAATCCACAAACTAGTCAACCCCTGGAGAAATCAGGAATTGCCTCTGTTTGAACTCTTAAAATTAATTTGTTTTCCCAGTGAGGGTTTGCTGGTTTGAGGCAAAAAGATCTATTCTTCAATTAACTGAAGATGTCATACTTGCATCAGAAACCCTCAATAACTCCAGGCAGTTAAATAAATTAGGATTTACCCTGGATAAACATAGGTCACATTTATTATAATCCTCATAAGCAAGCTACACCAACAGGTAAAATAAACTATATTTTTCCAGAACATGATGGTTTTAAGACAAAGGCAAAATATGAAAAAGAAAAAAATTCAGATGTCCCTTCAACCTATTCAGAAAGACTGTACCTAGTAGGTTTCCTTTTGTTTCCTGTTGTATTACCTCTTCAACTTCATTCTACCATCAGCTCTTTAGATCAATAGCCCAAGGTTGGGCACAGGGGAGCTTCAGGGACAAGCAGCAGAAGCTGGTGTCTGGTGTCACTAAACTGAGTTGAGAATTGTTCTCAGTTTTTAGATATACGGTAAACTGTCCAGAAGCTAAGATTTGCCAAATTTTCTTCCTATGATGCCCAAACTGAATAAATGGGAAAGATAATTTTCCTTAGGAGAGCTGTGCACAGAGTTAGGCTTAGGAATAGAGGCAGTAATAATAAAACAATAACTAACGTTTTACAGTAGTGTGCTATTTTATTTACTATTCATAACACTCTAGAGAGGCAGCTATCACTGAGGCTCCACTCACACAGCTGCCTAAGGATACAAAATGGGCAAATGACAAAGTTGATACTGATACTGATACTGATATTTCTGACTCATCTTTTTTCCTATAGTACTATCCTGCCTAGCTTTTAGCAGGTGTTTAGTGGGTATTTGTGAATAAAGGTCTCTCTTCATTGTATATCCCACCTGTCTCCTACTCACCTATCTGAATTGCCTGACGTTCAATGATCAGCCATTTGGCTCTATAATGGAAGAAATTATTCCCTATTAAAGCACAAATATCAGGGCCTAGTGTGGCAACTCATGTAGGTAATAGCAGCACTTTCAAAGGCCAAGACTGAAGGATCGCTTGAGACCAGGAGTTTGAGGCTGCAGTGAGCTGTGAAGGCATCACTGCACTCCAGCCTAAAATAAATAAATGAACTAAGTGCAAATATAAAGAGCTATACATTTTTTAGGCCAGGCAAGGTGGCTCACACTGATAATCCCAGCACTTTGGGAGGCCAAGGCAGGTGGTCACGAGGTCAGGGGATCAAGACCATCCTGGCCAACATGGTGAAAACCCATCTCTACTAAAATACAAAAAATTAGCTGGGTATAATGGTGTGTGCCTGTATTCCCAGCTCCTTGGACAGCTGAGGCAGGGAAATCACTTGAACCAGGAGGCACTTGAACCAGGAGGCGCTTGAACCAGGAGGCAGAGGTTGCAGTGAGCTAAGATCATGCCACTGTACTCCAGGCTGGCGACAGAGTGAGCTCCAAC